AGTTTTAGATAATCACATCCTTAATGGAACTGTGTCCTGCGTTTTTTTCTAAAGCCTGTCATTTTTGACATATGACACTAACATACGTTTTTTTTAAATGGAAACCATAGTTGGCCACGACTTCATAAAAACGCCATTTTTTAAGCTTTTCAGCGATATAAACTATAATATGTTTTCTTCGAAAAATTACTGAGTTATAGCCAATTCTTATCATTTTTAAACAATTTCACATAGTTAGCCATGGAAAAAAGTTTAATCGTCTTTGCTCTCATAAATGTGAAGCTGTCACATCCTAACTTTGTAAATTAAAATAAACAAAAATTGTAAATATGAATTTTTCAAATGAAGAAAAGAGTGTAGGATTATTGGTTGAACATTTCTTGACCATACATTTTCTGTTCTAGAGAGCATAGTAAAAGATATATCAAAGACCCAGACGTCTAAAAATACTTGTTTTTCCGACGTTGCTAGCTCTCGTACTATAAGGGCATGTTCTAGTAATAAGTTGTAATAATTTCATAAATTCGCTGCATCCAAATATTTAACTGATGCCTTTTAAATGATCCTTTGTGCAAATTTTTTTGTGTATAATCCAGAGGTCTCGAATCCAGGAAAAAACTCCAGAAATCTCTTCTTTCTGTAGAATTTCATTCATCTAGACCAGATAGTAAGGGATTTTCGGCTTCGGTGAACTATCCTGACACACGATTTTTCTTAGAAAATGAAGTTTATGTTACGTTAAAATGAACTTATAGGATTCTTTGACTAAAATCTGATGCGGAAAAACATGTTTCACATAAAAAATATTCTTAAAAATGTTGTTATTTGATTTTTATAGCAAATTCCATAACCGATAATGAAAGAGTCGCGGACTTGTTTATATCCGTTTCTATGTTTACGCTGACAGTAGTGAAGGTCGAATTTTGACAAATATTGCGAACTGATACATGGTTGTCAGATCAGCTAGTAAATTATCCGGAATTTTATGCATCTTTTTTGTTTAGGAAAAAAAAATGACGTCATAGGTTTTAAAGTGTTTTTTTTAATACGAATTAGATTACTTTAGTTTATCAAATTAGCTAAATTACCGCACCGGCGAGACAATTGCTATAGCTGTAAGCGTGTTTTCATTTCTTTGGTTTGTGTTTGTTTCGGGTTGATTTGGTTTTGTATTGGTTGTTTTTGTATTGGTTGGTTTTGTATGGGTTGGTTAGGTTTTGGTCGGGTTGGTTTCGGTTGATTTGGCTGTTTTTTTTTATTTTATCTGTTTGATTGATATTTTGTTTCACTCTGTTATTTTTTTAGTTTTCCCATTCACACATTACCAACGCATTTTTATTATTAAAAACGGCTATTTTTTCAAAATAAAAATAAAAACAGAAAAAGAAAATTCAGTGGAACTGGCAACATTGCTTTTCCTTTTGTCGCTGTCATGTTAAAACAAGTGATGATCAAGTGTTAAAATTCTCCATAACGTCAAATATGTGTCAAAAACTACTAAAATTAAATTGAAATATTTTAAAATTCTGTGCATAATCTCCATTTATTTTTATATCATAAGATTCATAAAAAAAAGAAAAATACAAAAATCGTGTGTCAGGATAGTTCACCGGATACGGAATTTTCATACAACAAATTGTTCGACATAATGTTACACTCTAAGAGGATGAATTTCCTAAAATCGCTTTGCGTAGCTAATTCAATAATCACTAATGTCATTTAAGCGAACCTTTGGCGGTATTAACTGACCCCTAAAATATCTAAAAACTTGATATATAATCTAACTGACACACCACTGACAATGACAAATAATTTATTTCTGGAGGTATTGTGTGTAGGTGTTTTTCAGGTATGTTTTTGGTATTTAATCGTTCACAAAGAAATAGCGATTAAACAATATAAAAATACTTCATAACAAATCTAGACATACCTACCTTTCATTTAAAAAAAGAATCATCAAGATTGGTGAAGCGGTTCCGGCGGGATGGATGTAACAAAAAAAACCCTTTGAGCTTTTATATAGGTATCGATGGATGGATATGGATATATTTCTATACGGTTTTATTTTTGAAAACCATTCCTTGCTTGCCTCCATGACGAAATGTGTCATTAATGAACAAAAAATTATCCAGTACCGAAAGTACCAAAAAAAAGGAAAATCCCGGTTCCTTAGAGCCGTGGTACCGAAATTCCCCAACAAACGGCTCCGGTTTCGCAAACCCTAGTTCGTCAAGACACCATCTAGTACCCGAATTACGTACCAAACTTTTTCACCAAGAGACAATTTCTCAGAATACGAGCGGTACCAAGTTTATTACACCCTCCCGGGGTTCAATAAAGATATCGGCCGAAAGATTCATCCGGATCGACGTGAACGGTACAAAAAGAGGGCATTTTTATTGGGGTAGTTACTATTGGGGCTCGGCGTACTCAAGACCGGTCTTCTCAGGGACTTTTGTCCCGCTAATGTCCCGCGTCCCAACGCAGACGGTGCCGAAAAGGCAATAAAGAACGTTACAGTATCGAAAATAAAATGTCGAATGTTGGGTTTTTTAATATAGGCTAGACGTCCCGGAGTTAACGTTTTATGTCGTTATTAATTTGTGGTGGACGGACTAAATGGTCTTTAAAATAAAAAATATATTTATCCAACAGCCACTACTTATACAGACATTACTCACATATATTCATGCATATAAAATTAATAATAACACACGCGTGAGTTTCTGAAGTTATAGCAAATTAGTGTGTTATGATTCCCTATCATATACGCCACGAGACTTTTCTGGCAGTATTTGTGCTGTAGCCGCCTCTGCCTGGTTAATAATTCCTTGCAGAAGATCGTCCTGAATCATTTTTCTTTAAAATCTGACTTGCTGGTTGATAATTCACTATTTTATCGTTAAAAATCGCGATTTGTCTCAATGACGTCTTAATGTCAGTGCTATTTATTATTTACAAAAAAACAAAACGCACCTCTACTATATTGCATGGTAACATAAACGCACCCTGGTAATTTATTAATTCGTAACAATGAAAGTAGAACTGGTAGGTCCTTTATATAGAAGATAACGCACTAGTATCATAAATAACTATTTTATATAGTAACTATTGGGAACGTTTTTACGCTGATTTAATAGCTTCATTCAGAACCTCGCAATTAGTGGAATAAAGTAGCGGTTCCAATTATTAAGGTGCGTCCAGACTTGTGACAGAATCCCGTGTCGTAACACCGCCGCGAACCTCGTCGCGTATAGAGTATAGACTGGATGGTGCCCCGTAACGTCAACCCGTTACATCGGTGCGTTTGCAGCGTGTTGCCCAACCGTTCCATGCGTTGTCGGTTTTTCAGCGTCGCATCAAAGAAATGTCGCATCATATAATTAGTGAAAAAGTTAAAAGTCTGATAACTTTTTCTACTAATTGAAAATGTCTACCACTAATTTTGACGTTCTGACTGCTTACATTGAAATTAAAGGAACAAACTTCTACGCTAATTGAAACCACTAATTTATTCCACTAATTTCGAGGTTCTGAATGGAGATTTATGCCAAAAACACGTACACGTCTGTACGTTCGAGATAATTGTCACATTCCTTGCAAAAGTTTGAAAAATCTTAAGCACAAACGTCAATAAGAGAATTACAATTTTTATCGTTATCAGCGTCAGTTTTCTAACTCTACATAATATTATATATTAAATATTAACACATCAAAAAGACAATATGTAATTTACGATTGTAGGCGTTCAGTTTAAACTGTTACTTTACTATTTTTAAGTGTGTAAATATACGTGATTTTATTTTCTTTAAAGAATTATGTGTTCACAACTTGGAATAAAAAAATTAAGAAAGGGAGTATAAAGGTTGATTCTCACTGTACCTTCCGTTTCCATTCCATATCAATTCCATATCCGTTCCGTATTTTTTATTGTATTGACGCTACACGTAAGCTTCCGTTCCGTATCAGTTCCATACTTTTTATTGTACAATTTATCTCATTACAAAAGTTTTATTTTAAAAATGTGTATCTTTTCAAAAAGGTAATAGATTTAATTAAGAGATAAAAGAATAAATGATAAATATCAGCAAAAATTTTAACAGAGCTGGTACAAATGTAAGAACTTGACAACGCTGTTTCCGATAGGCTTCAGTCCGTCCGCCAAAAAAATGTATGGAAGGAAAGGATATGGAACGCGGAAGGGAAACGGAACGGATAGTGTGCAACGTCCTATTCATTTACATGATAGCTTTTTTCGAGTTCTTGATATTACCGACTCTGAACCGTCCTAGAACTCTGCAGCGCATGCGCAAATGAAATAATGTCTTCATATTTCCTTCTGCGCATACGCATCACAGTTCTAGGACGATTCAGAATCGGTAATAACAAGAACGCGAACAAAGCTGATATACGAGCCCTAACAACTAAATGTTCGCACAAACAAAAATTTATTAAAAACTTTTATTTTCATTAGCTGAATTATTTACATTTATGAAATACATTAAAAATATATTAAAATTTAACATTTCTAATAAGTATTTAAATAGTTTAGTTTCTATAAACATTAAAATAAACTGTAGGCCAATAAATAAACAAAAATATTGCACAATATCATGACAACTCAATGTTCGGACACTTTAAAAAATAACTGTTCTAATATGGCGTTACATCGGCATGTACTTTTTCAACCACTGCAAGCCTGTTTGGCATTGTTTTTATTAATGATTGACATACGCCAGACTAAAAATTTTGCCATAATTCACTTAATATCATCGTCAAATGGGCAACGGTTTCTTGAGGATCGTGGCACAATTTTTGTTTTGTTTTATGCCACATATCTCGATAACATTAAGGTCCGGACTGTACGAAGGCCACGAGGGGACCTTGATGTTCATGTCCCTAAACTATTTTTTAGTAGTTTTAGCCGTATGGCATGCCCCGTCATCCTGTTGAAATATAAAATTCATATCGGGGAGAGTGGGGCAAAGTGGAATGCGGGGCAAATTGGAATTAGATATACCGCCAAGCAGCAAAAATTATTAACCGCCCGAAACGTGAAGGTCATATGACGCTTCACTCCCACTCAAACCGAGAATGTGGTCGGAACAGGCGATCAGTCTGCATCGCGACATTTATGAAAGCGCCCGTTAATCGTTTAATTTACGCAGAATATATTTTGTGATAGCCACGTGCTCTGTGATGCTTTGTGTGCAACTTTTGGTTATTCGTCAAGGTAAGACATTATGTTTAACTACAGGGAAAAAAAGATTCTTAAAAGCAAGCAGTTTTTTCTTAAATAAATGTTTTTTTACTAAATTTTCGAATGGGGCAAAGTGGAATTAGTGCCACTCCACTTTGCCCCACCAAAAATTTTAGCATTTTTTCAAGCGGTGTGATTTTTTGACTATAAAATCATATTTTTATTATATTAAAAATGATTTATTTGTAAAAAATATTTTTTAAAAGTAAAATATAATAATATAAGGTAAAAATGTATTGCATTCCAATTTGCCCCACTGTAAAATGCTATGCTGTTTTCAATTTTTTTATAGATGGTGAGAAACTATGTTAAAAAATCAAAATATCAATCATGGGACGAAGAGGATATGACAGATGCAGTTACGGCAGTAAGAACAAACCGGTTAAGTTATGAGTCAGCGGCAGCTGTCTACAACGTACCACAAACAACATTATTTCGGCGAGCCAAAAAAGCTTGCGACAGTCAAGAGGCTTCTACCAAGGGATTGGGCAGATTTCGAAGATGTTTTACTTCCGAGCAGGAGCAAGAACTCGTAAGCCACTGCCTATTTATGGAAAGTAGATATTTTGGATTAAGGATCAAAGATCTGAGATTTTTGGCATACGAGTTTGCCTCTCGTAATAATATTACTCACTGTTTTAATGATGACAAAGGACTGGCTGGGAAAGATTGGGTGCTATCTTTCTTGCAAAGGCACCCAGAGCTTGCGCTTCGTCAACCGGAGAAAACTTCGTTAGCAAGGGCTACTGGATTTAATGCAGTGTCTGTCGGTAAATTTTTTAAGATATTAGATGACTTATTTAAAAAACATAATTATACTGCAAGTCAGATATATAATGTAGATGAAACAGGTATATCTACAGTTCCAAATAAGCCATCAAAGATTATTGCCTCAAAAGGAAAGAAGCAAGTAGGCACTCTTTCCTCAGCTGAAAGAGGAACAACGACTACCTCAGTCATTTGCTTTAATGCCGCTGGACGATACATACCTCCTCTCTTAATATTTCCCAGAGCTCGAGAAAACTTGGATCTATTAGAGGGAACCCCACCCGACACCCACCTTGTGTGTCATCCTTCAGGCTGGATGAATTCGGATATATTTTGTCCCACATGGTTCGAACATTTTCTTAAGCACGTTCAACCTACAGCAACGAATCGAGCTCTACTTATTCTAGATGGGCATGCAAGCCATACAAAAAATATTCGTTTGATTGAAACAGCTCGAAAAAATCATGTGGACATCTTATGTATTCCCCCCCATACGTCTCATCGACTCCAACCCTTGGACGTATCTTTTATGTTCCCCCTGAGTACCTTTTACTCCCAAGAGTGTGAGCTATGGCTCAGAAATCATCCAGGCAGACAAATAAGCATCAGGCAAATTGGGCTATTATTCGGAAAAGCATACATGAGGGCGGCAACACTTAAGAATGCCGTAAGTGGTTTTGAGAACACTGGGATATGGCCATTTAATCCCAGCATATTCCCTGAAGAGGCATTTGTAGCTAGTGAAACTACTAACAGGTAACTTAAATCACAGAATAATGTCTATAAAACATTATTTTAATACAAATTTGAATATTTTTCAGACCTGAGCCAACGAATCCTCCAGCAAACACTGAAAAAGCTAATACAACAGTAAATAATACAAATGCATCTTACCCTAATGAGTAGGTTTTTTTCACCTACCTAATTTATAACTCAAACTTAAAATTATACCTTATTTTTTTCTCTCACATTATATATCCTTCACTTTTTTTTATTTCAGATCTATAAAGGAACACATTGATATTAATTCCTCATCTGACGAAGACGATGTTCCGTTGATGGCACTCAAAAATTTAATTGCCACCAATTCCGTTACTTCTGAAAAACAGAACTCAAGCTGCAGCAAAAATATAACTGCAGAACCGATCGCTGGTTGCAGTAAGGATATGTTTGCAGGGCCAATAGCTGATTACAGTAAAGATGTACCAAAACCCGTCGCTGATTTCAGCAAAAACATGTTATGCACAGAATTTGTTAGTTCTGAAATAGGAGAAGAAACACCCGAGAATGACGTTGGATTTGAAGTTCCTGAAAGTCCAGTGAAAGAGATTATTACATCCCATAAGGAGTCTGGTAGTTTTTGCAGTCCACAGGAAATAATACCCGTTCCACAATGCAGTCAAAATATTACTGAACAAAAACCTCGGCGCACTAGAGGGAAAACTGCCGTGATCACTAGCAGTCCATATTATCTTGAACTAAAAGAGAAAAATAAAGTCATCCCTGTTAAAGTAGTCGCACCTGTAAAGAGAAATGTATTTGGCGGCAAAAAAAAAGAAAATACCCCCATCTTGTAAAAAAAAGAAAAGAAAAAGTTAAATGTAAGGACGATGGTTTGGATAAAACTGAAAAGACCGACAATGTTCAGTGTAATATGTGTTGCAGCTTATATTATGACTCAAAACATCGCGAAGTTTGGATTTGCTGCTCCATCTGTAAAGAATGGTCCCATGAAGGGTGCACATCTTATGAAAAAAGAGATGGAAAGCCTTACATTTGCGATATTTGTATGTAGAATAATATTTTTAAACTGACTAGCTGATATTATTAATAAATAAACACATATTCCAATTTACCGCACCTCCCATTCCTCTTTGCCCCACTGGTGGGGTAAAACGGAATAAAAAACAATGTTTTTAAAAAAATATGTGTAGCAGTATTTTTTAATTTTGGAGTTTTGGAATTGGTATCATTTTTTTTAGAAATGTTGAACTTTACTCTGATACTAAAATTATTTGAAAATATTTAATAAATCAGGAGTTATTAAGAAAAAAATCAATTTCATTCCGATTTGCTCCACTCTCCCCGCCTTGTAAAGGTCTCTCGCACTTGGCACAAAACTGTTTTTCAAAATTTCTTGATATTTTGACACATTAGTTGTGCCTTTCTACCACCTCATACCTTCCTAGACCCATTGCGGACATAAACTCTAAAAGCATAATGTCTTTAGGAAATTCCACTGTCCATCTTTCATAAAGATCATGCATGCGTGCATATGTAATCATTGAACTTGCAGATTGCGATTAGAATTATCAGCGTCGGATTGGAACTTCTGATGTCACAAACTACAAAAATGACATTAAGGTAAAAAATTTAATTATTTCCCAATCCGACGCTAATAATTCCAATCGCAAATGGCAAATGCACGGATTACATGTGCACATAAGCCACACCTTAATATCGATATAATAAATATAATCGAACACCGCTAGAGTGTCTATTTGATAAAGATTGCCTCAAAAGGACAGTGACATTTCCTAAAGGCATTATGAAAGTTTATGTCCAAAGCATTATGAAAGTTTATGTCCATGTAGCGTTTTTTAAACCACTACCACTGCGAACGGCAGCTTTTCATCGGAGAGCAGTCGTGGATAAGGTATTTCACTAGAGAGAAAATTAATCAGTAATAATTAACAAAAGATATATAGATATTGGGCGCCAGGCATGTACAGAGAAAGAAAACACAGTTGTATAATACTTAAAACTAATGACTATATTTATTCATGACGTTCTTTGCTGATACATGACATTGTAGAGTTCTAGTAAATATATAGTGGTTATAAGAAAAGAAAGTGGTGGTAAGAGTCGTACTAAATATCAATGAAAACAACAACGATAAAATACAGGACATGTAAAGTTTAAGAGAAAATATGAAATGTAGCATTACTTTAATTAATTTGATATATTCCATATGATGCTAAATCGAAGATGTTACAACCTGTAGATTCTAGAATCTATGTTTGATTATCCATCTATTAAAATAGTGCAATAATATCTATGAAAGTAATACCATTACAAGACGTAATGCAATGAAACCTAAGATCTAAATTATATTTTAAAGATTATATCGACATGAATGTTCTTAACAATCTAACCACTGAACATCGTCTGTACGATATTACTTAAGATGTACGTTATTGTTTAAGACTGAAAATGTTTTAGATGTTAAATGTAAAACTAGAACTTAAATATACACTTAGCTGTTCTTTTATGTAACCTTGCTTCAAACAGTAGCAGCGTGAGGTGGTCTAGCATCTCTGTACAGTCTGTCGGCGATTCTGTTGGTCAAAATAACAAAAGGGGCCAGATTGAGGACACAATGAATCCTTACAGCCGTAGCTACTGACTAGGCTTAGAAATGGGAGTGAAGCAGCATGGGACTCAAGCTACATCCACGCTGTGGCACTTAGATGTAAGAAAAAATCGTTCTTACTGGGGACACTCGTCCACAGGACATCTGTACATAAGATAATGTCTGTACATAAGGCACTACCCGTACCTTGGACACAGTCCGTACCTTGGACACAGTCCGTATCTTGGAAATAGTCCGTACCTTGGACACAGTCCGTACCTTGGAAATAGTCCGTACCTTGGACACAGTCCGTACCTTGGACACAGTCCGTACCTTGGACACAGTCCGTACCTTGGACCCTCGAATTACTTCCGAGGGCTCACTAAATAATAAAGAACCTGTCCTTCCTTCCATGTGACATTCTGGAGGACAAAAAAAAGGGAAGCCAATGTGCCAGCAAAACACAATTACAAGTTAGGTTGGGGCATCCGCAACTCTACCCTGTAGCTTCGAAATAGCAGCTGATTCAGATTACACAGCAAGATTTAAATAATCACCATTTCTCAAAAACTGGGACTAATGGCGTCTGACAGGCCAAACAGTCTAACCAAAAGTGTATAACAGGGTTGTGTCAAACGAAAACAGGGTTGTGGACTAGAGAACGTAAAAATTCGTCAAATAAATCATCAGGCCCGAACGATACGGAATCGGGTGACGATATGCCCCAGACATCATATATTATATATAAAAAAGACATGTAACGAACTAAAAACGTTACAATAGGGGGCACCGAAAAGTAAGAGGTGGTAGAAGGCATAATTGATGCGTCAAAAAATCAAAAAAATTTGAAAAATATTCTTGTGTTAAGTGGGAAGAACAAAGGTCCTTGTAACTAATTGTTCTGGTAAAGACCAGAACAATAATTTTATATTTCAACAGGATGGCGGGGCATGCAATATAGCTAAAACTACTAAAAATGGTTTAGGGACATGAACATCAAGGTTCCCTTATGGCCTTTGCATAGTCCGGACCTTAATGTTATCGAGACATGTAGCATAAAACAAAACAAAATTTGTGCCACGATCCCCAAGAAACCGTTGCCCATTTGACGATGATATTAAGTGAACTATGGCAAAATATTTATGCTGGCGTATGTCAATCATTAATAAAAACAATGCCAAACAGGCTTGCAGTGGTTGCAAAAGTTCATGCCGATGTAACGCCATTTTAGAACAGTTATTTTTTAAATGTCCGAATATTTAGTTGTCACGATATTGTGCAATATTTTTGTTTATTTATTGGCCTACAGTTTATTTTAATGTTTATAGAAACTAAACTATTCAAATACTCATTAGAAATGTTAGATTTTAATATATTTTTAATGTATTTCTTAAATGTAAATAATTCAGTTAATGAAAATAAAAGTTTTTAATAAATTTTTGTTTGGCATTGTTTTTATTAATATTTTATGTAAACGGAAGGGAGCTGATATGGAAGGTATAGTAAAAATCGAACGAAATAATGGAACAACTTTTCATTAGTTATTATATTGTCCTTATCGGAATTAATGTTAAAATTTGTTTTTATGGAGTTTACGTTAATCCTTTTAAAATAAAAATGTACAGGTCGTGTCAAAAAATTAGCAACAAATGGGAAAATATTTTATAATTTAGTTGTTGAAAAAACTGTTTTTATATAGTCTCTTCAGCATGTTCTGAATTCTCATAATGTCGTGCGACATACTACAAATATCTAATGATAAATCATGATGGACTAAAATAGCCAAAAAAGTGAAATAAAAAAATTGTTCAGAATTTGATTTGATGTCTATTTATCAATTAATCATTTTGTTGACAATATTAGGTATGATAACACTTTAAGAATATACATATGGTAATATACAGGGGCGGCTTGTCCTACGAGGCAGATGAGGCAGTGCCTCACCAATAAATTTGAAAAATTACACGTATTAATCGATGCATCTTTAATCACAACGTTTTTATTTTTTGCCTATTTGCATCAATAATAATTGTATTTTTTCCGTCATTCAACAATAAATTACGTCGATGGTATTCCTTTAAACGCGCTTCCTTTCCCATATGCGACTAACTCGACGTACCCGACAATGTATATCCATCTCATTTGTTCTTTAAGAAGTATATGTGCAGAGGTTTGCCTCTCGCCTTTCCTTGTCTAGCGTATGGTGGTATATCCCACTGACGGAGCCACAGCGTTCACTGGAATCTTAAATCTATAGAAAGAAAAGAGAAAGCATAGGCAAAACCTTTAGTTGAAGAGGGATAAAATGTATGGAGTAGTAACGCGTAAAAAGACCGTATTGAGGCGAGCCTCAAATGTAAATTTAAACCTTAATAACCGTTCGTTAAAAATATGTATCACTTCCCGATCAGCCCGAGAGATTTTAGGCGACGCGACAGACTGAAAATCATAAAGTAACTAAAATATATTTCTCTATGCTGAAAATGCAGAATTGCATTATTTGGGAATTTGGATTAGTTTGAATCAGGGTTTGAATTAACTTTGCCGGTTATTGCACTGTTCTGTCTCTAATTGATTAATATATACGTTTTTTAATGTGAATTGCATGTTTAATTACTCGTCTTACTGATTATTACGTATTAAGATTATACTATTATTAAGTAAATACCTAAAAAGTGGGCAGTGACTTGGACTTGTTGATTGATATGATGATTTAGAGGGACCATGCATCATCAGAGGACTTCCCCAGGTAAAGTTTTTCGAATCATTTCTAGATAAATTGTGTATTATAGTCAAAAAGTAAAGCAACCTGTTACAGATTTCATTTTGTTTTATTTTTATAGGATGTAGAAAACAAAATTTTTTCATACAGAGTAAAATATAAGACAAAATATCCTGAGGTCGCTTTGATAAAAATTTACTGTTGCAATAGCCGCAACTGCTAAAAAATTTTCCGCTACTGCCAAAAATTTAGAAATATTTTAAATACAAAATGTGCGCTTTTTAAGTCTGTGGATATCTAACACACTAAAAATAATTTACAGTGTGTATTGAATAATATAATAATATATAATATATATAATATATAATAATATAATACTATATAACAATATATAATATAGTGATTCACTCTAGATTTTTACCACTTTTTAAAAAATTAAATTTTTCAAATATGAATTACCTATCATGGAAATCCCGCATATATAGTGCTTCAAATAAATCAATAGTGTGATGTATGCAGAATTTTATGCTGAACCCAATTCTGTAGAGAAAAGTGGTAATGCGATTGCAATTTTAAAGAAAATATTTTTTTAGGATATGCACTTTTTTATATAGAACTGTTATTTCATATATTTGCCAACTACGACGATATTGTACTTCCTCGTACTAATGGCCACCCTATATACATACTAATAAAAATTCTCTTCTAATGTGCCTCACCATCTTCCAGTGCTACGAGCCGCCCCTGGTAATATATTTTAGTAAATGGGGCTTTTTGAATTTCCTTTACAGTTATTCCATGTCATTTTTTTTTAAAAAATCTTCATCTTTTTTTAAAACTCAATGTTTGTTGACACTATTAGGTATGACATATTTTGCGTGAATTTTTATTAGTTGAAGGGGGCGGCAAAATAAATGGTGTCTAGAGTATAGTTGTAGAACTATAAGTACCCATATAAAGATATAGGTACTTATAGCACACGTACTTAACATAAACTTTGTTATACAAATATATATTAAAAAAAATACATTTATATTATAACCAGAAGAAGGATCCGATTAGGACACCTACAATAACAACAAAACCTTCGAAACAAAACAATAAAAAATCTATTAATTTTAGATCTAAAATACCTATAACGACACATTTTAATGTGATTTTTCGATTCGAAACTTTCATAAAACATTTTATGTCAAAACATTAAAAAGGGGAAAAAAGAACTAGAAACAAACTACGGTATAAACTTTAACTTATACGGTCATCAAAGGAAAAAATAGCCTTGTTTTATAAGGTCCTTAAATTCGGATTCCCATCAATCTTGAATTTAGGCCTATAAACTTAGTTTATGGTGTGCAATAAAGGGTCAAAAAGTGAGTTGCTTTTAAGTCTTTTAAAGTTTTGTTAATAGTTTTTAGGACATTAACAAACGTGAAGGGTTTTGTCATTTTTTGTATTAATTACTATAGAGAAACAATGTAGAAAAGCACATTTATTTAATAACAAAATATAAAAAAGTGTTACATGGGAATACATTTATACATAACAAAATACGCATGAATACTTTATTTAGTAGTAACATTTGCTTATAAGAAATAACTTTTCTTTCTTTGGTAATAAGTTACAGTTGCTTTGTTGTAAATGTTCTTTTGGAGTTTCGGATTTTTTATGACCCACGCTTAGAACACCTAAAAGAAAAAATAATTATAATAAAGGTTTATATACAGGGTACGGCAATAGTGCGTTGGGCATCTGTAGCTGTAGCTCCTAGAATAAAAAAAATTGGGAATTTTGTTTATGTATAAATTTAAAGTATGCATGAGGATGCATTTCAGGAAAATATTTTAACTTATATAGGGTGGCTCAAAAAAGTGTGGGTGGATAGGAATTATTATTTTTAAATGGAATATCCTGTATATTATTGCATTTTTGGCTTCCGTTCACCACTTTACATAATCTTAAGACGTAGTTAAATATATTTCGATAGTTTTAGAGATATTAATAAATAAATAAAAAACATATATTTCTCAACTTCACTTAAAACATTATTATAAATACAATAACTGTCCTAAAATCAAAACTATATCAGGTATTTACTTTTTTTTGTTTCGTTTCTTGACTTGTATACTATATATTTTTTGTTTTTACTCTTGGCTTTAGGTCGTTGGGGTTGCAAAGATGTTACTAGATTTTGTTCATTATTTTATTTTATGACGACGCGACGTTCCGACAGTATATGTCTTTTTCAAGCCTCTTGAACGTAGATTCCTACAGAGTTAAAATTTGTTAAAATTGGACAAAACACAATAACACATATTAAACTATTATTTTAATTGTTTTTGGACATCACACTTTAGTATAGAGCACGTATGTATTTTCTAGCAGACAGGGGCGCCGACTTTTATGAAACCTCGTGGGTGCTCATGTAAATCTAACAAATTTCCAGATTGTTTCATTTGTTGTATTTATTACATTTTTTTACATATGTAACATACATAACAAATATACCATAGGAGGAATACCATATCAATTTGACAATTCTATTGAGTATAATTTGTGTTATGCAGAAATATTTTTTTTAGTGCAGATACCAATTTGTGAAAATATTAATTCTATCCATTCCAATCGTGTAAGGGAACAGGCAGTGAAACAGACAGATACTGTATTCTGTGAAGCCAGTTTGGAACGCCAAAAATTTATTTGGCGTTCCTAAGTAGTTTACAATTCACTTTCAATTTAGAATGATTATAATTAGTTTACAGGATGAGTCTAATAATTAATATACAGGGTAAAGTACAAATATTTTCAGGGCTGGTAGATCTCGATAAAAGATTTTTTCTTTATCATTTTTCAAATAAGCCCAATATAAATGAGTTATTTTTCTTACTAAAAATAAAAAAAATACATATATTTATATATTATATTTTATGCTCATGATTTGAGAACCACTGTTTTTTTTTGGGGTTTTCTTTTTTGTAAATACAGGGTGGGCCAATGGAAACTTTCCACCCCAATTTTTCTCGTTTAAAATTAAAATTTGGAAAAATGCTCGGACACGTCGATTTAGTTTTCGAGGGGGAAAAGAAAATATCATAAAATCACTTACACACCTATAACTCTCAAGGCGGGGGCGGCGCCACCCCTAAATTCTTAAACGGAAAGGGGGGCCGAGTGATACCTCATGTGAAAGGTCTTTCAATTCCCTTTCTAATGATATCAGATATTATGTACTTTCGTTCAGTAGTTTTAGAGATTTATTGATTTAAAGTAGGATTTATCAGCTAAGTGGTGAAAAAAACGGTGTTTATTTTTTTTCTCTCTCTGTATGTATTTTTTTGGCAAACTATGTACAGGGTGGCACCTCTCATACGCCGCAGAGGCTCCAAAGAGAACGACAGTTTGTATTGAAATAAAATTTTGTGAGCGTATGTAGGTTAATTCAGAGCACTTTTTAAAAATATAGAGAGTTGTACAGGGTGTTCCCAAAAAAGTTACATATCAAAGTTGTGTTTTTTGTAATGGAACACCCTATATATTAATTGATTTTCGGATTCTGGGAGAAAAATAAAGGTGAGTTTTATAAGAGAAGTATATAACTAAAATGTAAGGTTTTTGACATATTTAACATTTTCTAGAAATAAAGAACAATTTTTAAATTACAATAAAAGCTACCTAAATTGGAATTTACCCGGTATAACCTAACATGTAGTTAAATAAACTATTGTACTTTAAATCAAATTAAAACTTGAATCAAAAAGTCATACAGGGTGACACAAAATTAATATTGAACATTGGTCACCTTTAAAAGCATGTTTTACTCTCTTACTTTAAAGAAAACATCCAGTATATTATTCCGATATTCAATGGAGAATCCATGTCTCTACAAAATACTATTAAGGTTGCCTACCCCTCAAACAAATATTTTCCTAGATATTTTCATTTACATGAGTTCGTCTGAGTAGATCTATATTATTTGCATGATAAAATCTAGGTGGCTGTGATATGTTTGACGTTACTTCAACATAGCTAATCTAATTAGTCCAAATTTAACAACTAGTTATTATTTTGTGTCATTTAAAACAAAAACAAAAATTCTCAGAAATTTGCCGAAAATGCAAACTTATCCTACATCAGAGAGAATTGATATGATTCTTTGATTCTTGATTAGTTGGGAATGCAATGTGCATTCACCAATTAATAGAATACTTAAATGCTCCTTATTTTATCTAGTCTGGTTTTTTTTAATGGGGATATATTAAAGATAGTGTTTAAAAAAATCGACCAACTAGTGTCGACAATATGAAAGAAATTATTGTAGCTGCTTTTCGAGGTAGAACTCCACATATGCCTTTTAAAATGAAAAGATCCTTTTGAAAAGACAATCATTTTATGCAGTTAACAGGAAAGGAAGCATTTTGAGCTTTTGATTTCATCCAGCTAATTTTTGTCGCATAGTTATAGGTTTTTTATCTAGTTTTAATTCTGTAATAATTAAAATATGTTTCGAACGTGTATCTTTTTATTACCCTTGAGTATTTTACTCTACAATCTTTAATTTTTGTTAAAATAACAAAAGGTATATCATATAGCCACCTAGATTTTTTCAAATAATAAAGATTTACTGACGCAAAACCATAAAAATTAAAATATCTGGGAAAATCTTTGTCTGAGGGGTAGCCAACCTTAATAATATTTTGAAGATATATAAATTCCCCATTTAACACCGGAAAAATATACTGGGTGTTCCATTTAAAATAAAGGAGTAACTTGTTTTAAAAGTGACTAATGTTCCATATTAATTTTGTCTCGCCCTGTATAACTTTTCGGGTAAAATTTCAATTTGGTTTAACATACAATGGTTACTGTAATTAAATATCAGGCTATACAAAGTCAACTAAAATTTAGGTAGCTATTATCGAAATTTAAAATTTACTGTTCATTTTCACAAAATGTAAAATATGTCGAAATCCTCAGATTTTAGGTATATGCTTCTTTAATAAAACTCACTTTTATTTTTTTCCTAGAATCCAAAAATCAATTAATATATAGGGTATTCCATTAGAAAAAACACAACTTTGATGTGTAACTTTTTTGGGGACACCCTGTATAATTCTACATATTTTTATAAAATGCTTTCAGTTAACCTACATATGCTGCCAACATTTCATTTCGATATAAACTACCGTTCTCCTTGGCGCTTCCGCGGAGTATGAGAGGCGCCACCCTGTATACTAAAACTTAAGCTTTTAAATAAAAAAGCTTAATTTTTTTTTTATTTTTTAAAATTTCTAAAAACTTTCCCGTCCAAAATTGAGCATTTTTCACTTATTCCGAATTGAAAGATTTTTGGGCGTGGATCGATGCAGATTGATTAGTTAAAATTTTTAGTATACATAGTTTGCCAAAAAAACACAAACAGAGAGAGAAAAGAAATAAAAACCGATTTTTTCACCACTTCGCTGATAAATTAAAATCTACTTTAAATCAATAAATCTCTAAAACTACTGAACGAAAGTACATGATATCATCATTAAAAAGGGAATTGAAAGACCTTTCACATGAGGTATCACTCGGCTCCCCTTTCCATTTAAGAATTTAGGGGTGGCGCCGCCCCCGTCTTGGGGGTTATAGGTGTGAAAGTGATTTTATGATATTTTCTTTTCCCCCTCGAAAACTAAATCGACGTGTCCGAGCGTTTATCCAAATTTTAATTTTAAACGAGAAAAATTGGGGTGGAAAATTTCCATTGACCCACCCTGTATAATCCACTACCTATCTGGCCATAATAACAAGATAATATATTTTTAACTAAAAATAAAAAAAAATACATTTTTTTTTCAAAAAATACCAAATTTTCCAAAAAAAAATTCACGAAAAAAAATGATATACATGTTTCTGGGGTCGAAATATACCATCCATAAAAATATTTGCACTTATTTAAGACTCACCTTGTATTAATGTATAAAGAGTGCAGGCCAGCCTGCGCAGTTTAACCTGTATTACAGTCTGTCGCACACACATGCAATTTTATAGTACAGGGTGAGTCAACGATAGAGTAAGGTCCATTATCTCATTTGTTTTAAGGTTTACAAAAAATATTAAATATAAAAGTTATAGAGATGGTTAAGATACACATTTTAAAATTATTATACAGTGTACAGCGTGCTTCAAAAAAGTGTGGCGACTAAAACATATGTTTTTTTAAATGCAACACCCTATTTTTTATTTTACTTTTAGATTCTGCGAAAAATTCCATAACTTTTTTATATATAATGTTATATACCTAAAATTAATAGTTTTTGTTATATTTAAATTTGTTTAAACAAATGTTAGATTGCAGTGGGTTAAAAAATTGTCAATGATGGCATTGATTCTGAAGTTGGACAACTAAAATTTGGTAGGAGAATTTTATAGAGATATAGAAAAGACCTATGTAAAGATATTTTAGTTAGATTTTACAGGGTGTTCAAAATATATTTAGGAATTTCAACTACTTAAAATTAAGGAATTTCAATTTTTTTTAAATGGTACACCCTATATATTATCATTTTTTCTGATAGATTTTACCAAACTCTTCAACTTTTATTAAGAATGTCATATACCTATTTTTTATTAGTTTGGGTGAGTTATTCCAATTTTTTCTATTTTTACCCATATTTTTAATACAATTGCGCTATAACATCATAGTTACCATGACAAAAAGTAATAATTATCACATTTTCATGTCTGTTAAGCAAGTTAAGAACAAAATCTGAATTTTAGTTTAATTTGTTGTAATAAGTATAAATGGTAGAGATAATAGTTACAGATTTTCTTGAAATGAATTAGTCAATGTAATTGATATACACGGACAAGCTTAGAAAACCACATTTTTTGGTTCAGTACTATATATTATATAGTACTTTACTAAGTACTATAAGGATAGATATATATCTAGAAAACATATTCAATGTGTAATGGGACGGTTTCACGGCAGTAGTAATATTGGCCTCCATATAATTCCAAGTGTCATCTTTCATAATATAGAAATACACCAAAAAATTCACTACTGCGATTTAGTTTATTTGAGTAAAGTTAATTAATTTTAACTAAAACCAGCAACTGTAACTAACTATGAAACTACTTGTTAAAGGTAAGTAATAAATAGTTTCGTTTTGTCATGGTAACTATGATTTTATAGGGTACTTGTATTAAAATTATGGGCAAAAATAGAAAAAATGGGAATAAATCGCAAACTATTAAAATTAGGGATATGACATACTTAATAAAAGTTGAAGAGTTTTGTAAAATCTATCAGAAAAAATGATAATACATAGGGTGTCCCATTTAAAAAAATTGAGATTTTTTAATTTTAAGTAGTTGAAATTCATAAATATATTTTGAACACCCTGTATCATTTAACTAAAATATCTTTACATATATCTTTTTTTTTCATCTCTATAAAACTCTCCTACCAAATTTTGGTACTCCAACTTCAGAAACAATGACACCACTGAAAATTTTTTACCACACTGCAATTTAACATTTGTTTAAATAAATTGACATATTACAGAAACTATTAATTTTAGATATATAACATTATATACAAAAAAGTTAAGGAATTTTACGCAGAATCTAAAAATAAAATAAAAAATAGGGTGTTGCGTTTAAAAAAACATATGTTATAGCCGCCACATTTTTTTGAAACACCTTGTATATTCTATAATAATTTTAAAATGTGTATCTTAACCATCCCTATAATTTTATATAATTTTTTTTTGTAAATCTTGAAACAAATGAGATAATGGACTTTATCGTTGACTCACCCTGTACAGTTTTATCTATAATGAACTGAGTGATGCACTCACTTCGGCACTCTTTTCTAAGTGGAAATGACCTCCTGAAATACAGTTCTGTTTTGGATTTTGTTCGCTTGTGCAATAAGGAAAAAGCGGAAAAACAACGGTTAATTAATGTAAATAAATGGGCCCAATATTGGCTACTTAAAGGATATAATTATTGCCATGTCAATTTGCATGCTGATTTTATAGTGAAAAACAGGATTGGTTTAACTACCTAAGAATGAACGAGGAAACTTCCTTAGAACTACTGAAATTGATATCTTTGAAAAACTACCACAGTATAATGCGCATCATGCACCATAGGGGGACCAAAGGATTTTTTTGAGCGACGGCGACGTCTCGCCTTGTTCTGGATGGGATGCAAGTGTCTTAAGTTGCTTAACTGATTAGTTTTGAGGTTGTCTCGTGGGTGCTCCGCACCCACTATTTCTCTCTCATGGGTGCTTCAGCACCCGAGCACCCAGGCAGTCGGCGCCCCTGCTAGCAGACCGTTCTGTATAAAACACATTTATCATTTCAATACCCGATGTCTACTAGAGACTATGTTAGAGTAGACATCGGGTATTGAAATGATAAATGTGTTTTATATAGAATGGTCTGCTAGAAAATACATACGTGCTCTATACTAAAGTGTGATGTCCAAAAACAATTAAAATAATAGTTTAATATGTGTTATTGTGTTTTGCCCAGTTTTAACAATTTTTAACTCTGTAGGAATCTACGTTCAAGAGCTTGAAAAAGACATATACTGTCGGAACGTCGTCATAAAATAAAATAATAAACAAAATCTAGTAACATCTTTGCAACCCCAACGACCTAAAGCCAAGAGTAAAAACAAAAAAAAATAGTTATTTACTTTAGATGGTCTAAACTTACTTTGTTATAAACATCGCAATCTTAAATCATACAGGATGTTCAAAATTCTACGCCAAACTTTCTAAAATATAAAATAATTTTTCTTCGTTTTTTCAAATGGAACACCCTGTATATTATTCTCTTATTAGATGTAGAATTAAAAAATGAACATTTTTTGTATTGCAGGTACACGAAGTATAATTTCATATGGCTCTCTCAACGGTAAAATACGAGAGAAAAACCATTGGGTGGCTTTGATAAAAATTTACTTTGGAAAATGCCATATGAAATATAGAACCGCGAATATCTGCCAAACCATTAAAATTTTTAAATACTCTAAATACAAAAAATGTTCATTTTTCAATTCTCCATCCATTGAAAAAATAATATACAGGGTGTTTCATTTGAAAAAACGAAGAAAAATGATTTTATATTTCAGAAAGTTTGACGTAGAATTTGAACATTCTGTATGATTTACGATTTCCATATTTATATCAAAGTAAGTATAGACTATCTTAAAGTAAATATATAATATAGTTTTGATTTCAGGACAATTCTTGTATTATTAATAATTTTTTTAAGAAAGCCTGAAAAATACTAGAATTTTGTGCATCTTGTATAATTTACGATTACCATATTTATAGCAAAGTAAGTGCAGACCATCTAAAGTAAATACCTATTATAGTTTTTATTTCAGGACAGTTCTTGTATTTTTAAGATTTTTTTAAAGAAAGGATGAAAAATATATTTTTTTTATTTATTAATTAATATCTCTGAAACTAATAGAAATATATTTACACATATCTTAAGATTATCTAAAGTGATTTGAAAGTAAGCCAAAAATGCAATAATATACTGGGTGTCCCATTAAAAAAAATCATCCCGATCCACTCACACTTTTTTCAGTCACCACTATAAGAGTTAAAATATTTTCACTAAATACATCCTCGTACATACTTTAGGTTTGCACTTAAACAAAATTCCTAGGTTTTTTTTATTCTAGGAGCTAAAAAACCGGTGTAGGAGCTAAAAAACTAGTGGAAAAAAACCCTGGAATTCTTTTCAAGCAATACACAAAGATAACATACATAAAACAAAGGGATACATAATATTTAAAAGCATTACTATCATTATCTTACGCGCATATCTTTTTGTCCCAAGAAGTGCCGGTTGAGCATGGCTTCTCTTCCCGACAGACGCAACTGCAAGTTTGATCATCCCATTCATGAAGACCCGTCTTGTTAGCTTTCTTTTCACAATGTAGACGTTCATTCTAAATAAAATTACAACGGAAATAATTAAATTTTAAGCCGATGACAGACCTGACGAATGTTACTTGGCAATTGCACGACACCATAATCTACATATATAAAATGCTAATGTTTATCTGTGTCGTCTCTACTGAAGTAACGACTTGCTCTAGAAAGTTGCTTTTTTTACTAAAAGATAGCTAATTGGCTCTTCTAAAAACTGTCGTCGCCGGATTTTTTGTTTTTCATTTAATTAAAAAAAAAAGTATTTTTTTCCTTATGTCGATGTCGTGGCGGATGCGCCGGGCTTCAACTAGTTGTATGGCTAATTATAAAAGAATAATATACAGAGAATAATCTTACAGAATAAAGTTCTTTAATTAGAAGAATATCTCACAACTTTTTTCTCACAAAATATGTCTCCAACTTCACGACATGCCATTTTCAAACCTTCTTTATTGCACTTATGAAACGTTCAATAGGTGTGTCTTTCTCGAGGACCTCACTTTGCGCATGCCCATTCAAAGTTGCACGTATTTCCAAAGTAATCACATTTTATACGGTTTAGAAAGTACAAATTATACCACATTGTTATGGAAACCAACTTTTCATTGGTAAGATGTTCAGCGTATGGCTGCAAAGGCCGAAGCGAGAAAAAAGTGGCTGGAATTACATTTCACAGGTAAAAATCGATACACAACTTTTGTTATGTGATCATAAAATGTACATTTTTTCATCATAGCAGTAAAAATATGTAAAATGCTTTTAATATGTCTTGTACCACATCCAAATCAAATTATTTTTAATAATTTCAAGTAGTATTTTCAATATCCTGTATTATAATTAATGTTTGAAACTATAAATAATGCTACTCAGCCTGGATTTCTCCAGTGGCGTAGGGAATTATAATCAGAGAAATACAATTTCTGCAATAAACATTTTTTTATATATTTTACATGTAAAAAAATGTATAAAGTATTGTTATCAAATATGTAAAATAATTGTAAACTATAAAAAAATCAAAATTCTAGTGATAAAAAATCTATATGTATAGTTATATAAAACTTAAATTTACCTGCCAAGATTTGTTGGGGGTGGACAAACTTGTGGTGGGCTACTTGTTACTACATACATATATTTTTTAAATATTCTTTCAAAAAATTTGCTAATTTAAGTGTATAATAATAGTTTCAGTGAGTAATTAATCAAAATTTAAAAATAAATAAAATGACACGAAGCTTCTAGAATTGTTTTATTTTTTTTTTGAATAAATTCGGATATTCTTAAAAATAGGATATTCTTATGATTGAAGATAACAAATATTAAAAATTACATTATTCATTGATTCCGTACGCAAGTGTGAAGGGTAATGGCTAGATTCATTATTATACTGTATGGTCGAAAAAAAAACGACGTCCAGTTGGCTTGTAAATGACGATCGACGACATTCCCCATATAATTTTACATATAAAATGACAGCGATCTTCATTTCATAGCCATCGCTGACGCCGTCTTTTTTCGATGTCGTTTTGTATAGTTTTTATGTAATTTTATATGTAGAATTATATGGGGTATGTCATCGATCGTAATTTAAAGCGAACTGGACGTCGTATTTTTTTCGATTAAACGGTATAATAATGAATCTAGCCAATTCTCTTCACACTTGCTTACGGATTCAATATTCAATGAATAATGTAATTTTTAATATTCATTTGTGAAATTGTCATTTCCAAACAAACAAGACGCCGTTTTTTTCGATCATACAGTATATATGTATATACACGTTTAAAATATATGTTATTACATTATTTTTTATTTAATTATACATTATACACACGTTAATAAATAAATAATTATCTTGATAATCAGTCCACTGTGACTGTTAAATAAATTTTGCATTATCGACTTAGATATTCTAATATTATAAAGGTGAGACTATAAAATACAAAATTGTACAGTACGTCTGTCCGTTCTGTAGCTACGGGGTATCCGTGAGAGGGGAAACGATATTCTCTCCATGTTTTTCGTAAAAAAATGGACGACGCGTCCCATCAATAAAAATTCGACAAATTTGCAAGTAGCCAATAAAATGAGTGGGCGGAGCGATTTGCGGTGACGTACTCGTCAAGTCGACGTATAAAATATATTGTTGTTTATTTAAATGTTTTTTGTCCGCATTCCTTTCATAGACACAGATCCAGCAGACGAACTGTATATGCATTACTCAAAAATGAACGATATATTAGTTTACGTTTTAATAAATATTTTGTACCGTCTAGGTACAAGCTAATTTCTGATGCTACGCCATTGGAGAATTTCGCGTGGTGACAACTTGCCTCACTTTCAGCTGCCGTGTTACCTGTCCCCTCTCTTTCCTTGTCTAAGAACAATTCTAATATAAAGGTCCCCCGAATTATCTTTTCATAGGAAAGTAAAGTATTCCGTTGTTCTTTTATTTATATTAAACCACATGCATACTTTCTGTTTGGTTTTCCTAAGAATATTGGTATTCGTACGGAGTGACTAAATGTATTTTTTATATAATTTAATCTTTGTGACAGTCAACATTCAATTTATTGTTCAAATATATGCGTTTTACAATTAAATTTTTAAAATTAATGTTCAAATTTGGCGCGTAGACACTAGGTCCTCGACAAGGAAAGATAAAGTAGAAGCGCCGCGTGTGCAACATAAAAAGAAGATAAATGGAAGTCGTTGATATGTTTGCGACAGTTTCCATAGTGATTTACTTATCCATGTAAGTATATATGATCTAGGGTTGCGAGCCGTACATTCTATGTTTTTGATGGGATGCTATTTACTTACCTGATTTTGACATTCACACTGACAAATTTTCTTATTGAACTTTTGTTGTGCAGTACAACTGGACTTATTCTGCGAACACACGCATTTACATTTTCTGTCTTCGGGTATAAGAACTGTTCTGCACATTGACTCTTTGCCCGAGTACCACAGTATTTGAACTGATATTGTCTTATTTGCTGTTTGTGTTGCTTTGCATACTCGTCCCATTTTACACGATCCTGAACAATATTTTGTTAAAACTGCACTGGGTTTTACCTTAAAAAAATACTTTTTATTAGATTTCCTCATGACATCATGAGCTAAGAAAAAAATTCGAAGAGATACACAATAATTTAAATAGTTGTAGGACAGTAAGCGAGGATAAAAATAGGGTATTACCTCTGAATTCTTGACACCCGCACCGATTGACGTGAAATTTTAACAGTGAATAGAGATATTTAAGAAACAAAAGTTTAAAAAAAAGTTTTTTTTAAAAGAGTAGCGATGTATGTTTTCACCCTGGGTGTGAGTGCCACCCCTTCTAGAGGGTGAAAAATAAATCACCCATTTCAATTCCAAAAATCAATAAAGGGATAAAGCAAAAAACAGGATAGGATAAAGCACATTTTGTGAGAAAATTAATATTTTCCAAGATATTTAGGATTGAGAATGTTGATTTTTCATCTAAAAACTGCATATTTTTCTGTCTTTCAAAAACCTTCCGTTTTAACTCATGTAAAGTAAAAATGAAGCGTTTGGAATAACGAATCGATTCATTTTTTGTTGACTACCGTAGGTGTGATAATAGCCCAGTTATCACTCTGTAAAGGTGATCTTTTATTTTTTGAAAACTAAAAATTGTAACCTTTTACCGTAAAATAATGGCGAAAGAACACATTTTTCGAAGAAAATGAATATGATGGTTTTTAAAGTGCTTGAAAAGACCTTTTAGATGATTTTTTAAGAGGTTTTTCTAAGTTCGAGTTTTCAAATTCGCGAGGATATAAAACGAAAATGGTCACTTCATTTTTTCGGAAAAAATTAACAACAAAATCTATGACTAAAATCATAAAAATAAAAACTATAAATTTGTAGGAAATTACACGAGCTACAAATTAATCTCTGTACTGTAACAGTCTTGAACTCTTCATTTTTACGAGATGTAAAAAGGGTTTTTTAGAGCTCAAAGAAGGTGGTCCTTACAGGCAAGTCAAACTAATAAAACGTAATATCTACGAAATGAAGAGATCTACACAAAAATTGAAAGAGAGCAAAAATATTGCAAAAAAGAACCTTCAATTTTACCCTGTTGCATTTTTTACGTATCTCGCTTAGTTTTTGCAATATGTCAAAAAAATTAAAGAATTTTAAAAAATGAAAAAGAAAGAATTTAATTTTTTTCAACTTTTTTCTAAATTTAGGCATTCTAAACTGCTCGAACTTGCAGAGCCCTTTGTTAGTACCTAAATATAGCCAACTGTATATGTATTACGCTTAGTTTTTATTTTTATCATTTTAGTCATAGATTTTGTTGTTATTTTTTTCAAAATAATGAGGTGAGACCATTTTATTTTTATCATAACTTCGCGAGTTTTTGAGCTACGAACTTCTTTAAAAAAGCATTTAAAATGTCTTTTCAAGCACTTTTCTTGGAAAAATGTATTTTTTCGCCATTATTTTTAGAGAAAAAAAGGTATAAATAAAAATAAGATGTTTCCTCTCGGAAACGGTAAGTAGCTAAACCACCAGTGAAGCCTCTACGGGTAGAGCTAGTGGAGCTCTATATTCTCCAGTTTATGAAACTATACAAACTTACCTCTCCTTCATCAGTATGAAGATGGACCACCATGGATCTGGCCTTACAATGAGCTTGTTTCTCGATGCTTAAATTTTCTTTATTGAATTGTTTTGTACATTCTGCTAAAAATATGTAGCTATAAAACTATATGCCTCCCTATTTAGATATAATATTTAGATAACTACTTATACAGGGCGATTCCTGTAAGTCGGTCATGCTTTCGAGGAATCATAGGGGACGTCGAACTATTAATTCTGATATAGCACACTATGGGTCGGAAATGCCTCTTACGCAAGATACAGAGTGTTAAAGTTTTTGAAAAATTAAAGATATTCTTTAATAGTTTTTTAAAAGTGGAAGGTATCGTTATAAAATTTCATTATAGTAATCTACCTAACAGAGACACTTTAAATGTAAAAAGAAGAGGTTTTAGTTTCAACCAGTGGCGTAGATGTGATACGCATCGGGTAATTTTTTCAAAAAAAAATAGTACGCCACTGATAAAAATTAAAATTTCGGAGTTTTTTATTTACTCGGTTTATTTCCGAGAAAAAATATCTCTTGCAACTTTCTCCTATCTAACACCATTTTGTCACAATTTAAAAATAAATAAATTTTTTAATGAGAATACTGCAATAAATTAAATACAGCGAATTATTATAACTAGAGAGCAGAAACACATGTGCATCGTTAGCTCCCTTCATCTTGGGTAACTTTAGTACTTTTTACTATTAGCTCTAAATACATTTTTAAAAAATTATAAATTTAAACTAGAATTTTTTTTATTGTTAATAATAAAATTCGTAGTTTTAAGGTAGTTATAATAATTTGCATATTTAAGGTTCCCATTAAAAAAATATTTATTTTTAAATTGTGACAAAATGGTGTTAGATAGAAGAAAATTACAAGAGACTTTTTTCTTGGAAATAAACTCAATAAATAAAAAAACTCCGAAATTTTTATTTTTATGAGTGGCCTACTATTTTTTTTGAAAATATTACCCGATGCGTATCACAGCTACGCCACTGGTTGAAACTAAAACCTCTTCTTTTTACATTTAAAGTGTCTCTGTTAGGCAGACTCCTATAATAAAATTTTATAACGATACCTTCAACTGTTAAAAAACTATTAAAGAATATCTTTAATTTTTCAAAAACTTATGTATGTCTTAAAATGCTTAGTTTCGGAGATACAGGGTGTAAAAGTTTCATTTTTATTTCGATTTTTTCCAAATAATTTCTGAAGTAACACTGATGTTACCAATATTTGGATGAAATTTGGTGTCTGGGAGTTTTTTGATATGAGAAATTCGATTTTGATGCCAATATGACTCCTACTTGTAGAGGGCGCCACCTACATATTTTTAACTGGTTTGAAGAGTAATAACTTTACGTCCGTATCTGTATAAAACTACTAAGTAAAAAAATATACATTTACGACGTTTTTAACGTAAAAAAGATCTCTTAATAAAAATCGCTACGAGTAACAGTTCTCGAGATATTTGAAATCGAAATTATCAATACCTGTCATCATTGACATAAATTGAACATGTTGACTAAATAGTTAATAGACGGAAATCATAAATTTGAAATGTTTTTGTGCCAAACCATCATCGATCATCATATTTTCGAAGAAAATTTTATGATTAATTTAAAAAAATAAAAATTTTTCAAATTTATCTTTTTAGTCAAATAACTATCTATTCAACATGTTTATTTTTTGTCAATAATGACATGTATTGACTATTTCCATTCTAAATATCTCGAGAAGGCTTGCTCGTACTTTTATACAGGTACGGACAAAAAGTTATTACTCTTCAAAACAGTTAAAACACATGTAGGTGGCGCCCTCTACAAATAGGAGTCGTAGTGATATCAAAATCAAATTTCTCATGTCAAAAAACTAACAGACACCAATTTTCATACAAATATTGACTTTACTTCAGAAATTATTTGGAAAAAATCGAAATAAAAATGAAACTTCTACACCCTGTATCTCCGAAACTAAGCCTTTTAGGATATACATTTATAAAAAGTTTTTTACTTCTTTTTATCTGCAGAATATGCTCCCGAAGTTTCCGGAATACAATTGGGACCACCCTGTATATTGATTTCTAAATATTAACAGTGCACTTTAGAATTTTTGCAGTGATTAATGAGAGAAAAGAAAGAGATTTCATATTTTGACCTTATGGCGTTATTCAATAATATTTAAACGGTTACAGGATGTTTGTATTTTTTTTTTGATTAATTAAAAAAATGTACGACAAAATTGTATATATCAGTATGAAAGTAAGAAAGAATTGTGCAAAGTCTACAAATTAGTAATTAGTAATTACTGATACATACTTACTCAGAATTATACTTATTGTACTTTAAAATAACACCTACCATGTAGAAAGTTCTCAGAAGTAACCTGAAACGTAGATGGACCTGCTATATGAAGACCTACGACAAACAAAAAATATACAAAATACCATACCATCGAAAAAAAAACGTTAAATTTGACATGGAAATGAATCTGAATTAATTATTGAATAACTACTCATACGGTTTCCTAATTAAAATCTGTCTGAATCTTTGAATAAAAAAATTTAAAGAAGTCGCTGGACTTTCATACTCTTAATTCATGTTCATTTCATACAATACTTTTTAAATACTTTTTACAAGTATGATATTACCTTTATCATATTCCCTTAGGTTGACAGGTATACTTGGACTCCTCATTATAACTTCTGAAAAAAATTTACATGAATCATATTATCTATCATTTACCTACAAATAACAATGACAGACAACTGTCATGAAAGCTCTCGCTGGACAGATATTGTCTTTACTTTTAATTGCTTTAACATAGCGTCTCCCCGAGAACTATGCACTTTGATTGATTTAGTATGTAAATTTTGAAGTAACATAATATGTATAGTAGATAGTAGAGTGTCCATTATTTGCAAAGTTGATCATTTCTCTCACGACGGCCTCTAAATTTTTAGTTTGTTATCTAAAAAAAAATAACAGACCATTGTAAACCCTTAATATTCACAATAAACCTTGCCCCAAAGACGATTCATTTCTCATTTAAATACTACAGGAATTTGCCACTTTTTGCAAATTTTATTTTTCCCTCGATCTTGTTCTCTCACAGCTATGACAATTACATACTTTTGTACAGAATTGAACGCTCTACAAAAAAGGTCTCTTATAAATTTTCGATAAACCTACTCCTTCAAAAGTTATTCACGGTTAAAATTAACCACTCGCTAAATTCCTAAATTCTTCAATTTTTTTGACAAAATTATGATTATTTTTGAAAAATTTAATCTATTACTGTAGAAATATGCAATTCTGAGTTGGGAATTAAGAGATCTTCAAGTCTAATGAAGTTTAAACCATTCAAATATAGCTGATTTACTTTAACAAAAATTCTTTAGTTGGATTTTGATATTTCTTCTTATACTCGCTTATAATCTGAATCACATATTGTTTTTCATCTTTACTTCTAGATAAAATATTAATGTATGCTTCTGACAATTTAACAGCTCTTTCTGCAGTATCATTAACTACTCTCAAATTTTTCATAATTTCTAAGCCTCTCATATATCCAGGATCCTTTAACTAGTACTGTCTAACTGCAGAAAACTTGTATCAATATTAAACCGTGTAAAAATTGTAACAAATTTGAATTCATGAAATAATAAATGTTTTTGTTTATAAACCATTTAAAATCATCCTGATTAAAAAAGAAGCCTTTAGAAATATCGAACTCTTCGTCATTATTCACTTTTATAGCTTCAACCATTTTCTGCCTGATACTATAATAAGTGTTAGAATAAAACTACCTGTCATGCAGTCAATTGTTTTTCATGAATCAATTTTTTTTATCATGGTATCATAAAATTGTTTTTTTTTTTCAAATATTAGATTAAATTTTTCAAAAATAATCACAATTTTGTCAAAAAAGTTCAAAAATTTAGGAATTTACCGAGTGATAAACTTTAACCGTGAATAACTTTTGAAGGAGTAGGTTTATCGAAAAATTGTAAGAGACCTTTTTGTAGAGCATTCAATTCTGTACAAGAGTGTAATTATTATGGCTGGAGAGATCAAGAGAAAAAATATTTGCAAAAAGTGGCAAATTCCCATGTAATTTAAATAGGAAATGAATCGTCTTTGGGGTAAGGTTTATGGTGAATATTAAGGGTTTACAATGGTCTGTTATTTTTTTTAGACAATAAACTAAAAATCTAGAGTCGTGAGAGAAATGTGAACTATGTAAATAACGGACACCCTAATATAGCATAACGTAGTACCCTACATGTATAGCACACGGTGTCCCACTTAAGATGGATGGTGTCCAATATCTTTAAGATGGATGTTAGCCAATATCTTTCTTTTTATTTGGCAGGAGGCTGTATGGCTATAAGACGTACATTTTGCCCAGGGTAAGAAATGCGATACCTCATAGACGTACGTTTTAATGGGGTTTGATATTTTTCGAGTCAAGAGTAAACTACCCTTAGGACAGTATTTATTTCAATTCTGAAATTATATTGAATCCTCCTTACCTAAGATACTAGATACTTAAGTTCTACTTTTATAAATATTGATACAGGGTGTGTCATTAAAATAAGACATTTTTATTTTTATAATTATTTTTAAGTACTTATGACGTTAACAACTGGTTTATTATCAATAACCGGTTATAAGTAATTATCAATTAATAATCGATTTAAGCTTTCAGATAGCTTCCATAATAATTAAGATGCGATGCAAAAAAACTAAATACTTACTTTCAATTTATTTTGTTTACTTTAAAAAATTGCTTTTTAAGTTTGCTAATACAAATGAATAAAACGAGTTACAAAATAATTTAAAACCCCAGTTTTCAATGGAATCTGAAATATGATTTTTATTCGTTTTATTGAGGAATATTTAAAAAAATCCAAATAGTTAGATATTTAAGACAATCACTATTAACTTTAAAAAATATGCTCTAAACAAAGCTTTTTTGTATCGTATCTTAATTATGGAAGCTATCTGAAAACTTAAATCGATTATTAATTGGTAATTGGTTATAATTGGTTATTGATAATAAACCAGTTGTTTATCCAGTGGCGTCGTAATTACTTAAAAAAATAATAATAAAAATAAAAATGTCTTATTTTAATAACACACCCTGCATCAATATTTATAAAAATTAGAACTTAAGTATCTTAGGTAATGAGGATTCAATATAATTTATCAGATTTGAAATAAATACTGTCCTAAGGGTAGTTTACTCTTGACTCGAAAAATATCAAACCCCATTAAAAAGTGCGTCTATGAGGTATCGCATTTCTTACCCTGGGCAAAATGTACGTCTTATAACCATACAGCCTCCTGCCAAAAATGAAAAAGATCGCTCAACAAACAACCAAGATATTGGTTTGTATCCAGCTTAAGTGGAACACCATGTAGATTTCAAAATATTTTTATGTTCGGATATCTCCGTTATCGCTAAAGATAAAGGACTGTGTGGTTTTCCAGATTGTTTATTTTTATTCTTTAACAACCAGCGATTTTATTATTATTTAATAGCTTACATTATTATTATTTAATACTTATAATTATGTAAACAGTTTGACAAAAGAATAAGTTTAATACAATGCATCTCCATTTTTCATGTATAATACCTATTTTAAACTGAAATGAAATTTATAGTGGAAATAGTTTTAGAGGTGGTATATTTTAACCCCAGAAACAGACCTATGAGGTCTGTGATTTTGTATTTTTGAAAAAAAAAATAGGAAAACATAATATCTTAATACGGGAAAAAATAAGTACGTCTTTCCAAAAGCAACATTCCAAAAAACAGCTAACTAACGAGAAAGGGAGCATCTAGATGATAAAAATGGTTTTAAATGCATTGCTTTCTTAACATATCTACAGGGTGTTTCAAACTCACACCTAAATGTTACACCTACTATGTTAACTGTTTTAAAACATTATTTACTTACCAGGAATTGTAGCATGAATTCTCGGATTATTTCTTCGTGCTTTTGTAATTTTCGGCACGGTCATTACAGCCTTCTTGTATTCCAAATATATATTAACATCTTCCCATTTTTCGTTTAATTTTCTTTAGTTTTTTTGTAACATTCCGTTTCATTGTTACATTTATCTTTGCCACTGCACGAACATATACAAAAATTGTTATAAAAACGATATAAAATAAAGTAGTCTTCCTTCCTACAATCATTTTTTGATCAGGTTCTTCGCGGTTAAGTTCGGAACTAACACTGAAGCAGAGTATCCAGACTGTGTCCATATTTAAATTCGTACGGTAGGAATCAGTGCCGTAACTTCCTCAACGCGTGCAAATGATATTAATGTAAAACAAACAATTACCGCAATTACTCACACAGTAACAAGTAGGTTTTTAGTATACCTAATGGAAACATACGTTTTGAGGAAGTTTTGATAAACATGTGAAACTTTTTAATTTATATTAATGGTAAACAATTAATTAATTACTCATACTGTAACAAGTAGGTTTTAGTATTGTACGATCGAAAAAAATATTATGTCCAGTTGGCTTGAAAATGACGATCGATGATATTTCCATGTAATTTTATTATTTAAAATGACAGCGATATTCATTTCATAGCTATCGCTGACGTTGCTTTTATTCGATCACGGTATATCTAAGGAAAACATAAGTTTTGAGGAAGTTCTGCAAACTGCAGCCTGGAAGATTTCCGCAGACAAGCGTTCAAACCATCTCCTCAAAACTTTTAGCCATGAGTTCTGGCGTCTTCCTACTCATCTTTACCCTTGCACTTGGCCCTCTATTATGAGGCGCAGTATTTCGCATCTACCACCTCTCATCACATGACCCAGGTATTGCATTTTTCTATCCTTGATGGTGTTCAGTTCTTTTTGTTTCTGCATGCGCTGGAGCACTTTATCGTTGGTGATCCTTTGTGCCCATGAGATTCGCAGCATCCGTCTGTATGTATACATTTCGAAGGCTTCTATTCTCTACTCTCTTTTCGGTCTGTGAATTCAGTGTCCAGCTCTCACATCCATAGAGTAACACAGAGAAGACGTAGCATCTGGCCATTCTGAGTTCCGCACTGAGGTCTCGTCTTGTTAAAAATGATTTCATTCTCACGAAGATTTTTCTCGCTTGCTCAATTTTTGAAAATTTTCTGGTTCCAAATGACTATCGATGTTAGCTCCTAAATACTGAAAATATGAAACTTTTAAACTGTTTTATTTGCGTATCCACCCAACAAAGAATTAGAAAAAGTGAAACTAGTAAACCGTTCACACACATGAAAACGTTTTACACATGATCAATTATTATTGTTGGTCCATCTTTTACTAGAATATTACAAGCTTCTTTGAATATTTAAAGTATCTCATGTAAAAAAGTAACAACATTTCACTCGGTAGGTAGCTCAACAAATTAAAATTGTCAAAGGCCGGTTGTAAAGATGTACTTGAATCAAGTTCACAAGTTTCACTTGTAGGTTGTTTGGATCGTATCAACTGTTCTATTATACAAGTTGGGTCGCTGTCAGGAGTCGGGTAAAGTGGATGTGTGGTCGAAGGAAATTACAGGGTGGTCCGAATTGTAGTCCGTAAACTTCGGCAGCATATCTTCAATTAAAAATAAGTGAAAAAGTTCGTATAACTTTATATCCTAAAATGGCCAGCTTATACAGGATAAGAAGTTTATTTTGCTTCGATTTTTCCGAATAATTTCTTTAGTAACGTCACAAACTAACTTAAACAGATGCGACACCTTATAGGAAATTTTGTGTTCGAAAAGACCTATGTTCGGAAGTGCGACGACAGGGCGGCGATACTGTCGATGAAGGCAAAATATTCGGTCAAACAAACAGCTGGTCACTTCAAATCGTTCCCGCACTCGCCCCTTCCCTAAGCCTCCATTTCTTTCGTTCTTTTTCGCCTTTAACCTTGTCTTTGATACACCGCGCCGTCTCGTCTGCCCGTCGCAACAGCCGCCGCCAGCCGCACGTTTATAAAGTCAAAGCGAGATTACCAGCTTGAACTTTTTTTATGTGAGAATTAAATGTTATATGTACTTGTATTAGCGCTTTTTCCTGGATACAATAAATAACTATTACATGATGTTAGGGAAATATCAGCTAATATTTATTTGTAAGGTATGAGAAATTTTCACAAATTTAAATAATCGGTTAAGATCAATACATATGTATAAAAAAATGACGATTTCATTAAATTAAAAATTATATAAAATATCAGAAATATACAATTTAAAGAATAGATCTTTGTTGTCAGCTTGCAGTTTGTATTTAGCTGTACTTCCAGCTGTTAATTTCAAATATTAATCTGTAAGTCTATCTACTATTAGCCAGCTTAAATTATCTTTAATTATTTTTTATATCCTGCTTGTAAATATTTTTATGCACTACTATAATTTATTTGATATTTTAAATTGATTTGTAAATTTAGCAGCTGATCTTTTATATAGCAAATAGGTACTTTATGATACAGACACGGCATATTGTTTGCATGTGCCGTGGATACCGATATAGTTTATACAAGTTGGTAAGTAGAATTGGCAACAGTGTCCTAGAAAAAGGATATGGGAATCTAAGATGGGAATATTGAAGGTTTTCAGAGGATTTTTAAGTCAGTTTCTTCAGTTGTTTCACATGGATAATACATACATCATTATTATATTAGCTGTTTCCGGACTTTTTTAATTTTCTGTTGGGTTTTGTTGGTTTACATTTAGTTAGTTCACGGTGTTCTGGTTTTTAGTTAATTTGTTTATCTGTTTAAGTTTCTTGTTTTGATTTTATTTAAAATGCTTCTTTTAAAAGTGTACTTTCAATGGATGAGAAAACATTTCACTATAAACTGAAGAAGATACATTTTTTTTTAGATTTTCTAGGACTAAATTATATCAAAAACTGTGGGTGTTTTTTCCGAAAATACCTAGATTTTCTAATGAAAAAGTGAATTTAAATACACATACAGTTCGATCAAATAATCGACTTATTAACTACATATACTTTGTAAAAATATACTTCTATGCCAGGTAGTAATAAATTTTCATGCCAACTTTCACCCCTATCATCCCCGAGATGATGAATTTTCAAAATCGTTTTCTACTTTATACTATTGCTTCCCAATTATATTTCTACATATTTGGCCAAATTTTTAATTCATAAATATTATGTACTTCTAAACCACGTAGTAGTAACGAATTTTCATAAAATTTTGCCCTTAATTTTACCCCTTTAGGAAATAAGTTTCGAGAAAACGCTTCGTAAGTATGCCACACCGAAATATCATACTCTATACCAAATATTAACGAATATTTACAATCATTTTTTCCCTTATTTTAAGGGACGTATTTTTTTATTGAACTTAGAGAAACCTTTATTGTGTAATGTTTTGAATGAACAGGTTTTTTTTTTAATTTTTATGTTTTGCTTTATAATTGTTCAGCCCTAATTTTACCCTCTTCGGGGATGAATTTTCATAGTCGCGCCTCATATAGTCATTGCGTTACTTAAGAAACCTTTTGAAATTATTAATAAAATTATTTAAATATATTTGAAACTTGTAGTAAAAAGATTTACAAATTTTTATATAAATTTCCACCACTGTCTCTCTCACCTTTAGGGATGAAATTTCCCTTGTCAAAAAAACCCCACAAACTAATTTTACGGGAATGTTTGTACCGACTTTTTCCCTTTTTGGGAGATTAAATTTAGGGATAATTATAATAATAATTATTGGCTGTTGGAACTATAATTATAGTTCGTTCCAATGGAGCTGAGAGCACAGAGCGCCTATAATAAACGGAAAACGGAGGTCGGGTGTGTCAACAAATTTCTCAGAGTATTGCAAACAGTATTTATATTGCAAATGTATTTAGACCAAGAAGAAAGAAATTGTGACCCAGACCACCCTGTAATCGGAAGTATATGTATAGAAAGTGACTCTGGCCAAGCCAGCGCCGGTTTCCACACCCGGGAGCATAGATGCTCCAAAAATAAAAATGCTAACGTCAGAGACTAACCAACGCTAAACAATGTAAATTATCAAAACCAAAAACCAGTCCCACCAAATAGCTAACCTATCCAATGCAATCAACACCAAATAACCAACTTAACCAACGCAACTAACTCCACCAAATAATCAATCTAACCTCACCAAAAAGAGTGAAACCAACGCAATCCGTATTTTGATTGTTATTAAATATTTACAGCTTTTTTTTTTTTTTAAATAAAACAGCAGTAAAAATAAAAGAATTTAGTTTGGCGTGAGATTTGAACCACGGACCTCTCGTTAACGAAGTGATGTAGCCTGAACCCAGTAACGGAGCCACAGCTGCTCTTGCAAAATTGGCTATAGCTAGGCGTTACTTTCCGCCGTTCTTTCAGCCGTCAATGGAACCGGAGCCGGCAACCATTAAGGGAACCGGCGCCGGCAGCGGAGTCATTTACTAATAATAGTTAGAAATTATATAATATAAAATAAGAAATACATAAAAATAATAAAAAAAAAACCTTTTTAAAATGTATAATATCTATTAAGATATTAATACTAGCGTGTACCCGCGACTTCATTTGCGTCGAATTAATAATTTGTAATGGTGATGATAAAGCAAAGCAAGAATTTCCATTAACATACAAACTGGATAAAATGTTCTCACATTTATGTCCTGAGCCTCAGAAAAAAACAACATGGCGATATTATTACATAACCTGGTAATATTTGAGAGGTATAGTTTCATCTCGTTGGAATTTGACTTCGAAAATCTGTTTGCCAAAATAATTTTTACGTCAAGCAGTTTAAGCAGAATCGTAGTTAATCAATTACCCAACTTTTAACACTTGTATGATTTTTAAAAATCAAAATATGTAAAAACAAAATAAATTATTATGCGTGTCCGTTGCTTTCGAAATACTAACTGTTTTTTAAATATCAAAAAAAAAAAAAAAAAAAAAAAAAAACAATCGAGAAACCTCCTTATCGAATCTCTGCACCCTTACAGTAAACTGTTTACTAAAATCAGCTTTAAACGTCAAGCAGTTTAAGCAGAATCAGATTACC